CCCTTAGAGGTTTCAGAAGTATTTAATAATTTAACTTTTGCTTATATTTGAGAAACTAAGAAAATATCGAAGAATCCTCCTAACAGGTTTCCCAAAACAACCATAAATCTGTGGTTTTGGACTGCTGCTTATCTACAAAAACCTGAGGGATATTTTAAAAACATGTACATCTCATTTTATAATGTACACGATCCCATCATCTTGGCTCATTTTTAAATTGAATTATTACATTTTTGTTTAAAAGCAGCAATTTCTGTATTTGTATAACTTTCTTTTTTTTCTTTTTCAGTGCCCACTCTTGCTTGGCAGTAATGAGATGTACTACTCCTTTCCATATGGGGAAAATGACTGCTCTATTGCTGCCAAAATCAATCTTGTCTGTAATAAGGATAACTACTGGGTGATCTGTTTGAACTAGTCAAATGAATGATAGACATGTGAGAGTGATTCAAGTGGCTATCCACAGCTATTTTAAATTAAATTGACATTGGGGGAAATGTTGTGTACCCAACTCTGTTTCCCATACACTAGGTATTTATAACTGGTTCCCATGAAGACCTCATACTTGCATAACCAAATCAAGAATTAGGAATAAATCCTCCCTGACTTGCATCTGACAACGAAATCTCCCTTCCATTCCAGAAGGAGAATGCAGTTACAGGCATCTCAAAGATGAGACCTCATCCCAAAATGTCTTTCTCTCATACTACCTAAGGAAAGGAAAGGGAAATTGCCTCTAAGTTTCTATGCATACAATTTGTACCCTTCTCCTGGCAGTTATATTTCCTGACATCTGTTTAAGTCTCTTCATCCATCTACATAAAGAAACATTCTGCATGCAATTATAAATCTTTCACATAAAATAAGCCTCAAATGCTCAAATTGAGAAAGTTTAATATAACTATTTTCTTGTGGATATTCGAGTGAGAGCAAAAGAACTGTTCACAGATAACACTGCCAAGAGAGAAGAAACGGAAACAGAAAAACTATGAAAAACCTGCACGTGCACAACAGGATTTTTTAAAGTTCAGTTTCTTGTTAAAAAGAGAGGATTTCTGTACAGTTTAGCATACATAAATATGGTCACAGTACAAAGCTCTCATAATTCCCAATCACACCCGTACATGCTGAGCCAGAGCAAGGCTGAAGTACTGAACGCAGAGCATGAGTCTCCTTATAAGAGGGGGAGAGGCAGGTGCTCCCACCTCTCAGTTTTGATCTATCTGCAGTAAGTAAATGACCCTGCCAGCAACCTGCAACATGGGTGAATTCACTCCTTGATAAACTCATGGAAGAAAAATCCAGAGTGCTATTAATTGTAAAATTCCTATGTCTGTATCAAGGTATCTCAAAGTCACAGATCACTGGAGGCAGAACAGGATAGTCAACAAAGCATCATTGTGTATTTGCTCTGTTCGCACCTCCTCCTGCTGGCTCACTGCTGCTGGCCAGAGACAGAGCCCATGGTCTGCACTACTTCTGACATTTATTCAGTTTTTCTTTGAAAAGTATTGCCATTTATCCAAGAAGCTTGAGTTCTACAGAAGTCCCAATGCCTATGTGGTGGAATGACATTCAGTAGCAGACACAACAATATAGTCACTAGTTTAGTCAGAGATTGTGACTTAAAAAGACGTAATATGTGAAATGAAAAGCAAATTACTATTCTATACCCAGCCACAAAAGCAGAGGCTAATCAGACTGTCAGACCACTAGTAAAACCACAAGGTTTCACTCCAGCAGGTCTGAAACAGTAATGGGTTTTCCCATGAAAACTTGAAAGAAAAGGTGAAAAAAGGTTTGTGTGGTATGATGGAAAGGAATGCCAGACACAGCTTTGGTCAAACATTCCCATTAAATATTTTCCCATTACCCCCTAGGTTCATTCACAGGCCAATTGCACTGGCTATTTACCAAGGAGGTTTAAGATAATGTTTACTGCTTTTTAATGTTTTTCAATTTTCTAAGCTTACTGGTATTTCCTTTAAAAAAATCCTTGTGAAATTAAAAAAGTAACACATAAACTATTAATGTTTTCTCTTCACAGTAGATTTACTGTTATGCTGATTATATACATTCCACCACTAAACTGGTATACAATTGCCCTCAAAAAGCCTTATTATTTTCATTTAATACTTGAAATAAATGACAAATGATGCCCTTTAGCAATTTGGACTAAATCCAACTGAAATCACTGAAATTATTTTCAATAGCAATGACAGCAGATCAAGCTCTTTGCACAGATAAGTATTGCTGTATTTGTGGTTTTACTACACATATCGGTATAGTGTAGCTTCATTGATGCAATGCCTAAAAACCCCAAAATAGAAACATTGAAATTACATATTTAACCACTAGATAACATACAAAAAGTAAAGAAGTTATGATATTTAGTTATAGAAGACAAACTGAAGTCTTAGACAACATTACACATTTATCTTTAATTGCACTAACTACTATCCGCATTTTTCAAAGAGCATAAGGAAAAAATGGAAACTAGCAAAGTAGTCTGTAGAAAGCAAGTAATCACCACACTGCTGAAGAAATGCTTTGACAAACTACACACAAGATATTAATCTACCAATTTCTAGGTCAATGATCTTTCCAACAAACAGCATGTACTGCTTATAAAATATAAACGCCAGCTTCTTAAAAATTCACTTGTTTTTAGCATGCCTTTTTGCATATGTATTTCATCAAACACTGCAATTTGAGAATAACAAGAAAAGAACAGTAATGAAAAAGCTGAAAGATACAAACAATAGATCTTGAAAAAATATACTGCCTTTATTTTATAACACCACTTGTAATTTTTCATCTTTTAGACTCAGGTTGATACGCTTAATTGTGTTTTTCTTAGACATGTCGTGTTGAAGTAAAAGCTAGACAGACTGATTGCAGAGATATTATTAGTGCTGACTCACTGAAAATTATGTCATAAGATCAGCATTTATAAGTCTCAATTCTTCACCTATTATTTCTATTATTTTTATTTGATCCATTACATTCAAAGTAGGAGAATGACAGTCTTAAATTTTATAACTACAAATGAAGAAAAATAGCAGCACTATAGGCAGAAGTAATTTATTATAGTCTTAAAAAGTACCATATAGATATCAGCACCTATATAAATTTATAGTATAAAATTATGAACCTGCTGAGATCTGTACACATACTTAAAATTTTACTACATGAGTGGTCCCAGTGAATCCCTTATTGACCCCTAATTTTGTTTTTACAAAAATTTCCTACTGTTGGTTCCCAGCTCCATGCCTCTTTGGCATTTTGAAGCAGAATAGAAATTTACGTTTCGATTCTGAGAGAAACTGATAACAAAACAACCTTTTCTGGACTCTCCTGTAGCATTATCTACCTTGGCAGGTACACAGACCCTTTACTTCAGAGAACTAAAGAACCATTTTTCTGAGAGACAAAGTAAGCAAATGAAAATTGTATTTCCTTTGAACACAAAACAGGTAGTTGGTGAACAGTAATTCTCACTGATTTCTTTTGGAGATAAAGAATCCATCATTGACAGGCTTCTCGTTCTTGCAGTCTTAAAGTTCAAATGAAGTTTCTGTACACTGTTACCCACTTCACTATCACTAAATGGAGATGCCATCATGACCACATCCAGACACTTAACTCTGAGGAGTCCAAATTCATTGTGAATGGAATTGCTAAGCTATTTTGTTTCCTGTGCCCAAGGACAAAACAGCTCCTACAACAACCTCTCTCTCGCACTTCATTTTATGTAGTTGTTTTCCTTTTCTCTGTCATGAAGTTTCAGAGTGGATACTGAGGTATTCATGTTTTGTCTCAGAAAAAGGTTAGAGATACTTGGTTATAATACTTCCATCAGAAAATAAAAATCCACTAGCAATCCTCAGAAGTTAAGTTGAGGTTTGGTATGTTCCGTAGGAGAAAAACTTAAAATTCAATTTATGCTACCTTTGGAGAAATTCTTTAGTACTAAATAAAACTTCCAATGTTATATAAAAACTGTATTTAGAATATATGTTTAAAATAAAAACAGGGATTTTTTCCCCTCCAGAAAAAACACATGCTTTCTGCTTTGACATGAATTCTGCACTTTTAATTTGCAAGACTGTTGCCACAGAAATGATAGATACATAGATTCATCCGTAAGCAGATTTTGCTTTAGGATGAATTAGAAAATGGGATTTGAAAAGAAAAGTAAATACAAATGTAAATTCTGTACAAAAGATCTCCAGGACAAGGGGTTTTGGTTCACTGCACTAGGAAAGACAGCTGTGTTGGAATAAGACAAGTGAAGAAGTAGAAAATATCCTGAAACAAAGTGACAAAGTTGCTATCTGACAGACTGGAACAACTAATAGGACCTAAGCATACATTGCCATACTTAAGCAATGGCAATTCTGTTTCAATTTCTCCCACTCCTGTTTGGGTAACCTATAAGTCTTGTGTGCACCACAAAAGTGAAAGGAACTTTTTTCAACTAGGACATTAAGCTTTTTCCTTCCATATAAGGGAATAGGTAGGCAGTTGAAGCCATATACAGACTCTTACAGATTCACAGTTTTAGGTTTCTATATTACTGGTGAGAATGGTATTTTTGATGGAGAGATTGCTAATGATGCCTTCCTTTTGCCGTTAAATTGTTGCATGTACACAAGCTAGAGTCCATTGAAATACCTTCTGTAGTAACCACAAGTCCAGTTTCAGGGACAACCAGGAGTTTTGTCACAGCACAGCATTTCACAGAATGGGTTCACAAAAATCCTTGAGAAACACAATGGTAACACCAAAGCAGGGATCTCCTACTGCTTAAACAGCTTGTCCCAAGATTTTATTTCTTTAAATATGGCACCTATTCAAGCCATTTTATCTCTTAAATACGAAGTAGAAAAATTACAGTAGTGTTAGTAGGTCATTACGTTTATAAGGGAGGGAAAAGCATATGAATATGATTTCATTCATATTTTGAACAGTTGACAAAAGAAAACTAGAATACATACCGCATCTGTAACTTCTATCTCGTACAACTTCTGGAATGTCTCCCGATAAAAGAAAAACAGTTTCCCACTGCCACCACCTTTCTTAACAGAGGTGCCTGTGACTAGTATTTTATCATCTGGGCTGAAACAACAATCTGTCCTGTTGAAGAAAACAAATAATCATACTGGGCAAGTTGATAACTGATGTATAGTAAATTGCACTCCTTAAAAATAATCCTTTCTATTTGTTAATCTTTTCAGGACAAAGCTTTAAAAAAATCTTTTGCCAGCTGTCACCTATTACTCTAGTTATCAGACACAGTTCAGTACAGTATTTGTACAGTATGTACAATTACAGCTGTGCACAGAATGTGCCAAACTGGCAGATCCAATAAAAATCTTCCTCCCAGCAAAATTCTCCTCCACTCAAAAGTCTTGTAAACTTTTCGACATGAGGAACAAACAAAAAAAAGTATTTTCAAATCTGGTTATCGTCATTAAGTAAAAAAATAGATCAATTACAAAATCTGATTTTGCTGATGCTACACTCTTCCATGATTAAGGCAGTGTATTTATACAATGGCCAAAAATGTTCGCCTGTTTACTTTTCCTCCATGCTACAAATTGCAGTCAAGATTGAGTTGTCCATGACCTACCTTTCTAAGATCTTATTTCAAACGTATAAATTGTCCTTAGAGTTTAATTTGGTTGTGCTACAGCTATAGAAATGCAGGTAATACCCATGAAAATATTAAATACAATACTTAGCACTATGCAGTACAATGTAGTATTTTAGTACCAAAGAACACATTCATGAAGTTCATAACTTCCAACTTCATAACCTGAATTCATACCATGCACCTTCATGTTATGTCTACTTTTCAATCCAGCTCTTTTTTTATCATTCATAGACCAAGTAAGAATGAGGATTACATCTCATTACACAAACATAAGGCAATGAACTGGCCTCGTCCTGAGAAGTTGCTAATCTAACTAGACCTAAGACATATGAGACTGAAAAATGGCATAAAAAAAGCAAAGCTAGCTATGAATTATCACAAAAAATATGAGATCTTTTAAAGCAACGTGAAGTCCTAAAATAGCCAAGAATGATGATTGCACAGTCCTCCCTGTGCAGTTCTAGACCTAGTGAGAACTGAGGAGGAGAACCCTGGTAGACTCTCTCCTGTTCAGCACAACTACTGCTGTGTCTACTAGGTGGAACAAATTAAGAGTACTTACATTGGAAAGAAGCTGGGCAGTCTTTCCGCTGAATTAAGAGGCTTTTTAAATTGTCTAATATCCCATATCTTTAAAGTATCATCTCCTATGAAACAAAAGAGATGAAGGTTAGCAATAAAGAATTTAAGTCAAGAATTCAGACATGCAGAAAATTCCATCTTCTAATTCAGACACAAAAAGAACAGAATGATAAGGTAGAAGTATTCAAAATGGGGATGGTTTGGAAGTTTTTTTCTCCCTAAATGACTACAAAAGTGCAAGGATGAGAAATTCTCCCTGCCGCACTCCAGTAGATCAGAAACTTCTCCTGAGTGGCTCAACTCTATCATGGAAACGTCTCCTACCAAGAACTATTATCCACAGTGGAATCAGATTCCCCAAACACTACTTTATTCTGTGTTTGAGAGCATTGCTGCTTTACTACTCAGAGTAAATTTAACTTTTAACATATCAAAAGAAATCAAAATATTACCATGGATAGTCTAGAACAAAAACTAAACAAGTTTTATGTTTCTGGTTTCTACCTGTCCTGAAAAAATGATCAGGGATTCAGAATGGAAGGCACATGAACTCTTCCCCCTTCTTTTGCAGGCAAACAGCAACAAACTGCAATTTCAGTACAGAGAACAGGCCCTGGAATCAGCCAGAAATCCTTGGGGAAGTGGGAGAAGGGAAGCAAGTGAACCCACACTTGCTATAAAATCTTTTCACACCCCTCCACACCACCTTTGGCCATAAAAGCCAAAATGAGGTTACAGCAAGACATTTATAGCAGTTCTTGTCTGTGTCTGATAAACATGGTGTGACTGTAGACCAGTAAAAGTCAGGCTGTTTATTCCTTTTTGAAAAGTTATGACATATTAACAAAGTGAGAACCCGGGAAAAAAAAAAAGAGATTAGTTAGTTATTCTCAGAGAGATCTACATCTCTGTTGATCATCCCTCTGGGATACATATTTCCAGCATGAGAGGAGCTACAGAATTTGAGCTTTGAGGCACCTCACTCAGGCACCTAGGCATCTCCTTGCATTTGACATCAGTGCCTCTGCGTTTTCAAGGGTGAAAAGAAGGACTTTCGAACAAGAATTCTCTTTAAAAATATCCAGAGATTAATTTTAGACAAAAAGTTACAACAAAATATTCCTGACCTAGGAGGAAAAGGAGGCAAGCGACTGGTAATCTACAGACCTGGGTCCTTCCAAAGCACAGACTTTGCAGGGAAGTAATTTTGGTGTCTAAAAGTATTTTGTGCATTCACAGCCTTTGAGATCAAGAGCTTAAAGGAGGCCATGGAAATAAAATGTTTTTTTAAAAAAGTAACATGCTGTAACAAAAGAAATCAAGGTCAGCAGTACCCTTTACAGGGAAAGCAGTAATGTGTGGCCTCGTACATCATGCATGTTTATATTAAAGACTAGGATAACTCCTTACTACAAAATATTTTTAAGAAGTGGACAACTTAAATAAATGATGTCTAGAGCAGAGTATATTTCTGCTCATTGGGAAGCTAAAAAGTGACAGGAAAGAAAAATGTTGAGTCCCTATTTTGGGAATATCTGTTTTCTTATTGTTTCCCAGTAGACTCCATCCCAAGCACTTCAAAGCATTTGGACTTGTAATATGAATCCTCCCTTTTCCCTCCCATCCCCAACAAAAAAACACTTATCGGTGAGATGTTATATCTAAAGCACCAGCACTTTATAAATGTATGCAAAGGATACCATTTGGCCACTCTGCAAATCTCCTGGATAGGGACAGATCTAAGGCTAGCAGCCAAGGCTGTTCTGTTCCCAGTGGAATGAGCCTTGACATGATCTTCAAGCTGTAGTCCTGCCAGGCTTTAGCAGGAGAGATGCAGTCAGATATTTAGTTATAGCTCTCCAACTAACAAGAAAATGTAATCTGCTGGTGTAAAAAATTAGAAGACTCTAGAAGGACTCAAAAAGTCGAGGCTGATTTCAAATCAACGCTGTCTTACACTGTGTAGAAATAGATGATTAAGTATCTGGAAAGGGAGAAATGCTAGTAGAATGACTGTCCAATGCTGTGATACTCTTACTATCATTAAGAATTTACCCAAATTCACTTTTTCTAATTAAAATTTTCTGTGTTGTAAATATAATATTGGTTCCTGAACCTAACCTGCATTTGGAGTTGAAATCACTGTCACTAACAAAACAGACATGTTAACTTTCACAACAAAAGGATTTTGTCCAGTAGCATCCTCCTATCAATCTTTAAGAGACTTCTTTATGAGAGCTGTAGCAGTACTGATCTATTTTTAAATACTTCATACATGGACAAAAATAGTTACCCTTAAATGAAAAGATATAAACAGAAGTTGTGCAGTTCAGTATGAAGCATTCAAAATAGTCCACTCAGATCATTCAGTATTTTTCTTGACGGAAGACTTCTTCAAAGCCTGGCAGGATTATTTAAAGGTTTTATAGCATTTCTACTAGCATTTCAAACTCTGTTCTTTGCCATTTTAACAAGAAGGATACCAATAAACACACTGGAGCCTGATATGATCAGGTCAGACACCATTATACCAGTGGTATTGAGCACTGGATTTATCAAGAGGTAGCAATCAGGTCCTAGAAAAACAGTCTTTGGTGAGCCAGGACAGGCATTTTGTGAACACCTTTTAGTCAAAATAAGGCCAACCACAAAGATTTTATGTGATTTTTTTCTTTTCAGAAGATACTGGCTAGGACGACAAGTACATGGATGCAAATGAGCCCAAAAGAAGCAAAAGTTCTGTCAGAGACTCAAAAAGTCTAAAGTCAGCAACACCCTTCAATAAACTCCTATTTTAAAGAGGAAGTCCTGTGTTGAAAGCAAAGCTCAAGGACAGAAATTCACAAAGATCATTAGGGAAAGCAAAGAAACAGGAAATAAGAATTTAAAAAATAAAATACAGCATAGGAAAGGCATAGCATACCAAGGCTTAGTGTGAGGGAGCACCAGAGTATGTCTATAAACTCCGAGCCTTTCTGTGAAGGCTTACACCACATATGTCAGGAGAGGCACCTTATAGAACAAGGTATATGCTTCTGCCTTCTGCACTGGTTCAGCAAGAGGAGCTACAGCAGCTAAAGGACAACATTCACAGGCACCACAGGTTTGGACCACACTCACCTCAAGCCAAAGGGAAGTCACAAACTGGGGATTCTGCACTTACACTTGGAACAGCTCTCACCATCACCTGCATCCATACCAGCCTGGCCAAATATTTAAGTCCATCATCCTCTCTAAACATATGGAAGTGAAGGATACTGGAAGACTTTGAGAAAGCCATTTCAGGTTCAAGTGTTACAAAATAGTTGACTATGCCTACTAAAGCTAATGAATACATTTTTGGTATTGTTAGAAATCAGTATCAGTGTTCAGCTCCTGAGAAATATTACTTGATGTAAAACCATTTGATTTTTAAAATGCTAATGTTTGTATTTACCATAAAGAGCAATATATTGTTACTCTCTACAAAACAGAAAGACACTATACATGCTGCTGCATAATCCTTGAGTATATAGGAAGCTGTAATCAAAGAGTTTCTACTTTTTAAACAAACTTCAAAATTAAACACTTTATTTTTCCTCAAGAACATTGTGAAAAGAGAAACACAGCTAAAGCTGAAAAAAACCCCACAAACCTGAAACATCGAAAGTATACACACACAAAAAATTTTGAGCTCAAAAGAAAGCAAGTATCTGCATAAGCCAACTGATAGGCTTAGATGTGAATATTTTTTCTTGGGTTTAACTACAGTGAACTTATTTTCCTATATAAGTTTACTGATTAAGATGGCACTGAGTCTGCACACTCTTCACACCACAGAAAACAAATGAACCAAACTTACAGCTATCATGAGATTCATGGAATCAATGAAGTCATTGCTTCATATTATGGCAAAAACTAACTCCATAAATTCTGTACACACTAGGAGTCAAAAAAAAGTTTTTTAAAATTTTTATAATAGGACCCCAAGTCCAGTCCTAATGCTTACCACTTCACTGCTAAACAAAGAAAATGTTCCCCAAATACTATCTTCACTGTATTTAGAAAAAATGACTTTCATAGTTACAAGTGTGCAAAAATATCACTTTCTTAAGTTTCTGTCAAGTTACTAATACCCAACAAGAGTAAGACTGGGAACTCTCATAAGCAGCTCCTTAGCTTTTTATTTTCTTTTGTGCTCGCAGCTGAGCCCTGCCTCATCTCTCTCATATCCAACACAGAATCTACATCATATGCAGGAGAGTCAATCAGGCTTTCAATGAAAGTCCCCATGCCCCAAACAACTATCATCTCTTTGATCCTCAGGACTTGGCAGGTGTGTTAATCTATGAATGCTGGATCCACATCTGCTTTTGTTGGTACAGATCCAAAGCAATACTCATATTAAAGCACTAACCAAACAAGTCAAAATAAGGTATGAATCCTCCTTACTGTCTAGCATAGTGCACACAGAGCTTTTTTTTTTAACACACTAGACAAAGGTAGCACTTTTATCCACACTGAAGGGCCAAATTTCCATACAGATTTACATTCTGCAAACAATCAATCAACATTTTATATAGCTTAAAGCACAATGTGGTAGATAAAACATAAGTAAGCGAAAGTCTGTTTAACACAACACAAAATCTGGAGACAGATGAGAAAGAGCAGGCAAGCAAAAGTGCCACATGCAATAAAAATATGCAAAGGTCACTCATGTGATCTACACTCATAAATGTGTAACATAAGAGAATTTACATAAATGGGGGTTTCAAGACAGCACTAGCGAATATTCCTCACATAAGTATTAACCTTGTTTGATGTTAATATTTAAAAGCACACTGAGGTTTCTCTTTAAATCTTAAAAAGCATGCCTGTGTGAATTTTCCAGGGGCAAGACTACTGGCAGACAGATGCAACATTTCACTTAGCCCAGAACAGAAAGACAGATAGTTCACCTACTTTCCAAGGAGGTGAAGGTTCTCACATAGTAAGTGTCTGGTTAGTAAGAATCCGCAAGGCTGAAAGTTTTTACTTCCAACTACTTAGGACTCATTCAGGATGAGTACTGTGGCAGTAGAACTCTGGATTCAGGAGCCTGAACAGCAATTAAGAAACAATCCAAGTGCCATTAGCATGCCCTCATAAGCCTAGGGCTGTCGAGGAAGTATGATCACTATCCTCTTACTCTGAAAGACGTGATCTGGGGAACATAATGTTTGGAATCTCAGAAACATCGCAAGACATACAAAGAAGTCAGAGAAGTAGCATGAACAGTAGCTGCATATCGCTGTAAAAGCCACCAATGCCACTCTGCTCATGGGGGACAGGGGGAGGGGGAGGACACAAAGCAATTGCAAGCTACAGCCCTTGGCTTGGAAGCACATCCCCTGCTTCAGAGCTTTTGCCATCTATGAATGCCTCTATCCAGGTACTTTGTATATGTAATCTCATTCTGTCTACATCCCAAACTGACCAGATGTCCTGTACATATGTTAGGCACAATGTTAGCTGACATTAACATCTACTGCCTCTTCCTAGGCCTGTTTATTTGGCCTTGGGGCCGTGCTAATGTATACACAGAGCTTCTGGTTACAGCTGGTTTCCATCCAGACAGCTCAAATTGTATGCTTGCACCTGCCTGCAAAATACTGGGTAGACACATCTCTGTATAAAAAGCTGTCTTAGGCAGACACCATCCTATCCAATACATCTGACACTGGAGCGAATGAGTCAAATATATCTTTGCCTAACTCAAGGCTTGTTCTGTTATCTAAGACTTTTTTATAAAAGTTTTATCTGAAGTTTAAAAAACAAGTGATTTTTTCCTGTCCCATAGACATTTCAAATCTTTTTGCTTTTCAAGCACCTCTTGATCACTCATTTCCAGTCATCATTTCTTGATGTTTGCAATACAAATTAGACAAAAATTCCAATTAGAACAGAAAAGGGCATTGCATAAGTAAGCCGCTTGAGGAGTTAGTAACTCCAGAACAGAGATACCGTTATTGAGAAGCGGTAATCTTCCCAGAAAGAACTAAGTAATGAAACTGGTCTCATTTTATTTTTAGTTAAGCTAATAATTTCCTTTTCATGTATTACTAATGCTAGAGTAGAAGACAGATCAGGAACTGTGTAATATAAACAGCAAAGTTCTCTTAAAATATTCCTTAACTGCTGTAAAATGCACTTTCAGGAACACAGTATTGCATGGTGTATCAAAATCAAACATGTAAATTGTGAAACACTTCAGGTTTAAATCACTAGTATCTGATTTCACTATCTTACCTCCATCATAAACAATTACATTTAATGACAGTATGATTTAAATGGCTTGTTTACTGAATGATTTCACTTAGGAAATTTAGAATTATCTTACAGTGAACACATCAAAGGGCTCTTTCAATCACCTACCTCCCCGGCTGGCAAGGACAGTACCATCATAGGAAAATGTCAAGCATGAAGTGTCAGTGCCTGGAACATGGGCTTGCCTGCACTGGAACTTTGTGTGTACCTGTTTGTTAAACAAATATAACATTAGAAAATTTGCTTATTTCAAGATGGGACAAACATTTCTTTATAGCATTTTGTGTATTCTGCTGCTGTTTCTAAATTTAAACAGAAACTCCTGCATTTTTAGCAAGTACAGAAGCTAAATATTTCTACATCCTTTTTAAAATGTCATACATGTTTCAGAATAGGTTTTCATAATGGTTTTCATAATAAGAGCTTGAATGCAAAATTTGACTTTTTCATAGGTGTAATTACATAGTTACATTCACATAGCATCAGCGCTCTTGGAAAACTCCCACTAGCACCGACTAAAGGTAGTTATGCCTGGTTAAGATAAAAATACATTTTAAGACAATACTCAACACTCCCCATATCATGCTTATAATTACAAAAAATACCAAAATACAATATACATACTTTGTAAAGGACTTAAAAGAAGGACTAGAATAACATACTTCTGCCAAATTTAATGCCTGCCAAAATTCATGGCCTATATAATAGAACAAAGCTCAGATATTCCGAGGTTTGTGTTCTGTTTAGCTGCAATAAAATTCAAGTTTGGGAACGATGTATGTTTATTTATTTCTATTTTGCCAATAATCTTAGAGAACGGTAGAAATTATTTTCAAGTTAACATTTTGTTCTTGAATACAGCTGACTTCTTATTTATTAAGTCACTATTTAGTAAAATCCTTAAAAATTCTATAAAAAAGGGAGGAACCTCAAATTAAATTTTACTACTGTCATGAAATCAAGCTTTCTTACTTCCTAATCAAAACCAAAGGTCTTGGCTAAGATACTAAGATGCCCTTCATACACAGAAAGGGAAAATGCAAGAAAACGGAAAAGAAAGAAACAAAGAAAAAGGAATTTGAGACAAGTTGACTCCTTTTTTAACACCTAGGAAATTACACTTCTCATTTGCCCTCTTTTCCTAACATAAATCTAATTCACACAGTTGTAAAATAAAGCATTCGAGAACTAAAGTTTGCCTGTGTAACTGTATCTCAGCTTCCCATCTGTAAAACAAGGATTAAAACATGCCCTTCCTCATACAGAGGGGAAGAAGACAAATTAGTGACCTTGAAGTCCTTTATTTACCATAGTGACAAGCAAAACAGAAAAATATGCATAGAAGCACATATTTTCAGAAGAAGGTTTGAACAGCATGCGGTAAGTCAGATCTAGAATCACACCCTGAACAGTAAAAGGACAGAATACAGAGCAGCTGCTTAGTGATTACTATCCAGTCTATACATTAAAAGAGACACAGTTCTACAAAACAAAAAAGGAGGATGTGATCACAAAATGCAAACATGGACTGAATTAAGCCTGGACAGGAATCCTCAGTTACTGTATCTTCTAATTTTTGACTATGCACCTTACTAAGGCTCTTTTGATGGACTATTTTGTATGCAAAAGACCCAAGCTAGTAAAGTAATTAATGTTGTTTACCCTTTCAAATATTTGTTCTAAATTTGGTCCAAAAGCTACAGAATCTTTGTGTGATGACATTAATGATTGCAAGCTTATTTTGGTGTGAAGATTTAGTCAAGTTTTGAGAGGAGTCACATAAGTCATTCCCTCCACAAATGACTCTTCAACACACAAAGGAGAACTTCAAACACCAAGTAAATGCTTCTTACAGTATTTGGAGATAGAATGTAATATCCTACATTAAGCCATAGTACTTGTTTTGAAGTCACTGTCTCTTCTAGCCAATTGTGCCTTCCCTGGAGAAACTCAATGAACAGACTGCAGTTTACAACTGTATGTCCTTGGTGGGGGCGTTTATAAATAGTAAGAAACATATTTTATGCACCCAATTACATAAAATTTTCCAAGGGTGTGGTAACATATAAAGGATAAACTGTGAACTGGCTATTAGAAAATAAATTTTCTGTTATATTTGTTAAACATTAATAAGCAATTAAATTTCATATTTTCTGTCTAAGAAATACCATAGACCTTTGCAAAAACATCATAAATGGTTAATAATCATACCTAAAAAAATGACAGAAAGATTACAATACGGTATTTAGCTATTTCAAATACATTGAAAAAACTTCGTTTGGGCTCCACAACACTTGTCTACTCAACACTCCCATCCCTCCCTGGCAATGTAACACTGACATGCATTTATTAAAATAAGAATTTTTTCATTTTGCTGCCCAATTTAACGCAAGGGTGGGTTTTTTTCCTTTCATTTCTCCCTCAATCAATCTGAAATTTCTTTGTTTTGTTTTGGACACAAATTTTAAAAAAGAAAAATATTTCGGGTCCAAGCAATACCTTTCCTTTTACGTTTTACTAGTAAGAAACCTGAACACCTATATATATATATGTAGATAGATAGACAGGTAGAAAGAAAAATCACATAATGTTTCAGGAGTTTCGTTATTTTCCTATGTCAAAGATATTGATTTTATTTAGCATGAATGTATGAATTCATTAATCAAACCTAAACTGTATCTTTCAGGAATTAAACCAGCTCACCTTAAAAACGTCACCCACTACGGAGCCTTCTCAATGGAGTACCTATAGGTCAATCAGTTCTTACCCTTTTTCAACTGTCTCATAGAAAAAGAAAAATAGCAACATACAGATATCCAAGACACAGGCATTATTTGCCCCTTAATCACAAAAATGAAAACAACAGAACAAATTTAGCCCAACTCTATCTAGCGCCAGTGCTTTAGGTTTACACATAAAATGAGACTCATCTGAAAAGAACAGTAAGACTGCATGAGTAATTCTGTCTGTCTTTAAAAATAAATTTGCTTAGTTTACCAGTAAGATTGTTTTCCTAACTTTGAGCTCTGCAAGCTTGCCCTCCATATATTATCCTGCAAAGGAATATGACCCTGAATTGTAATACTAAATCAAATATTCTAAAATGATTGAAGGTTGCTCTAAAACTGATAGAAGGTTGAACAAGAAGTTTTTACATATACTGGCTAATGTTCGCTGCAGTTTTCAAAGAAAATGTGTTTGGCCTCTAGCCTCTTAACATTTTTAACAGATGTCTAATCTGCTAACAACTTTTTTTGCTAATGATTTGTTATCACAATGTTTCTTACGGAAAGACATGAAACAACAGAACTAATGTACACAATTCAACAGTTTGATTCAGGAAGGGAAGGAGAGCGCATTGAAACACTAGCTAAAGATGTGAAGATAATTAGGCCAAAGTGTATCTACACTTATCCCTCATTACCCCTCTCTTTTTGTTGCAGAGGTGCCTGCTATTGCAGAGTACTAGTCATGTGCCACACAAAATTTGACAAGTTCATCAGTCCTTAAAATTTTTTAAAAGTTCAGTTATTTCAGCAAATTCTGCAGTAACATTCTCTCTCTTCTGATACTTGTTTGAAGGCTTTCTAGCAAATAACTCCAGCAATGTAAGCACTTTCTTTCTAGCTTTGTATTAGCACATATACTTTTGTTAAGCAATAACAGCTGACGGGACTTGTGTGCAACGTGAGATGACAGGCAGAAAACATGAAGCACATGTGAGAAATGACGTGGTTGCATGTATCAAGAAAACTAGGACAACAGACGAATGTCATGGTTTGCAGTATCATCGCAGTTCTCACAGAGAGGATAAGAACTGAAGATAAAAGGAAGGCAGAGAAAGGACTGGGAAGGTGGGCGGAAGTTACACGACTGGGGAGTCTGCAATGAATGTCCTTTATACAAAAATCTGGGTGGATTACAGAGGACCAATATGGCAAGTGAAGGTGACAGTGGCCACATGAAGTGTTTATCACAAATGAATCACCTACAACAGAGCCTCACGGTTAGAGTTCTGCGTCACACAACTGCTCTCCTTCTCCAGAATCCTAATAAAACATATTCTAGGAAAACCAGAATTTAGACCTAGTCAGTTTGTTCACCTTAGAAATCCAAGCCATATCCATGAGAAAAACAATAATATGCTTAACTAATGAAATTTTTGAACTTTCCATATTGTTTCTAGGATACAATATTTCACAGTAAGCTGACACTTTCTCAAGATTATAATGCTCTCCCCCCTGTTTTTTTTCTTTTAATGAAGCAACGAATGTCCTAGCCAAGACATTCTTCTTCCTTCTTGTTCCTAACACCTTTAGTAATTTTTTTAAAAGCAGAGGTAGTAAATTAAGGAAGGCCTTGCAGAAAGTGAGCTCTACAAAGATCGTTATATCAATCTTTCCCTGTATCACAGACGCATAATATTTTACTCATTTATTAGTGTAAGGACAGTTACCCATGCAATAACAAATGTGTCTACAGTAAAAGGAACTCAATACAATACCAAGTGTGCCACTAGCAATGTGCATCTACTCCAGTTTGCTCCAGCACAAGGAAAGTGTATTCTTAACAGGGAAGCTCATCTCTAGAGATGCCTCCCATGCTCACTTACCAGCTGCTCCTCTTCTTTCACATCAAGGAATGTTTCCAACGCTCCTTGAGAGAGCTGGAAATTGGGACTTACGCTGGTTTCAAACGTGAGGCAGAAGGGCAGGACTAGCTGGCCAGAGATGCCAGACAGGCAAGTCCCAGGCCATGTATGGCTGTTCGAGATTTGAACAGGTGATTTCACCCAACTAGGATACTTTCAGCAAAATAAATCAGCTGACACTGACAATATTCAACTGTAAAAATGTTGATTTTGAATAACCATAAAAGCTTTCCAAGATAATGTATTATCATAGGCCAGTCTCAAGGTGACAAAAGGCATGAGCTATAAAGCTGCAAGAAAAACAAACAAATCAGAAACCTTCTTTTTAGTCACAACTGAGCAAAGCTGTCTGGGTTTTTGTTGAAAGCGATCCCATCAGAGACAGCCAGAAATCTCAGAGCTGTGATCAGAGCTGACAAGACAGACAGGTTCCCAGGACACAAGCTACACTCTCCAAATGGCTACTTCCCCATCCCCCCTTTGGTCATGTCTACTGAAGGAAGCATATTTGCTCAACTATAATCCAGAAACGAAACATAACCGTACTTTCTGGGTTT